TATTTAATGTGTATGACTTAATGAGTCTGGAGATAAGTATATACTTATGAAGCCATCACCATAATCTATGCCATAAACTTGTCCATCACTTTCAAGCGTTTCCTCCTGTCCTCATTAGTTTTTTGTGATAAGAACCTTTAACATAATATCTACCCCCCCCCAGCAACATTTTAAGTCTACAATACAGTGTTGTTCACTACAGGCACTCTGTTGTACAGATCTCAAGGTTTCATTCATCCTACCCAACTGAAACTCTGTACCCTTTGACTATTACTTCCCCGTTTCCCCTTCCTTGGATGAATCTGAAGGGCATTATGATCAGTGAAATAAGCCAGACACAGAAAGACAAATACTATATGATACCACTTACATGAGGAATCAAAAACAGTCAAATGCATAGAAGCAGAGAGCAGAATACTGATTGCCCTTGTCTCCTTTCTTGATACTCAGCCAAGGACAGAAAGGAAAGCCGGGCTCCCAACAGCTATGTTGGCAGAGGCTTACTGGAGAGGCTTGATTTCTTTGCCCTGGTTGTGTTACCCACTCTACACCTCCTCATTGATCCTCTTGAGGTTAAAGGCAGAAGATTCCCCTGTTATAGCAAACACACAGGCAAATAACTAAACCTGCCTAACCAGTGCATAGATCCTCACTCTTGAACTTCCATTCCTTGCTCCTAACCTTGCAGGGTCTCTTGACAGCTGACCCCAGGGCACACACATTTTCAGATTAGTGGAGAATGGTGCTTTAAGGTGGTAAGGGAACATGTCTCATAATCCCAGGTCAGTATTCTCCATTATTTTCATTTTACCTCCATTATTTTTCTCTAATCCCTTTTCACTGTTCATAGAATATCTCAACCATACCCCATGGAATGTTTTTAACCACTTTATTGGTTTCAGCAATAAAAAAAAAACTTTTATTTTTATTCTTTTAGCAATAAAAAAACTGCTATTAAATATACTTCCTTTAAATATATATATTTTAGACATTATACCATAAACTCATTTTAAATTAGTTGTTAATAATATTCTTTATAGTAAAGAGTAGTTTTGGGGCACCTGGGTGGCTCAGTCGTTAAGCGTCTGCCTTCGGCTCAGGTCATGATCCCAGAATCCTGGGATCGAGTCCCACATCGGACTCCTTGCTCAGTGGGAAGCCTGCTTCTCCCTCTCCCTCTGCCTGTCTGCTGCTTCCCATGCTTGTGCTCCCTCTCTCTATCTCTTTGTGTCAAATAAAAATAAATAAAATTTTTAAAAAAAGAGTAGTTTTGACATTTTCCCATTTAATTAGTGCTACGCTCTTTACTTAAACTATGATAGCATATATGATCTACAGACAAATCAAAATGATGTAGCATGTTTGGTTAGAGAACTGGAAGGTATCAAAAATGCAGACCAAAGTTTAACTACGTATTGTCGTATTAAAAACTGCTTTCAAGATTTGGTTTTTGAAAGTTTATAATTCTGAGTTTCAAAAAGCCAGCTCATCTATTTTTAGGACTCTTACATGTGTTTCTAAATGAAGAAATAAAAGATAAGGCTCAAATTATGATTTACAAGCATATTTTCACAATTACCATACAGCTGGATTTGGAGGCTTGGTTCCTTCAAAAATGAAAGGTCAAATTAGCCAGAATCATGAGTATATTTTTTCTTTGCATATTGATTTTTTAAAGTACTGTGGATAACTCAATGTTGAGTGAATTTTGACTGAATGAATGTGTAGATGTGGTGAAGATCAGTAAGAGATAGGTTTGCGGAATAAGTACACATCCTTCCTTTAATCACTGACTGAATATAGCTTTATGTTAAACAATATGTGCTAGATCAATCCCACTGCCTCTCCAAATCCACTATCTTTCTTTATCCCACATCTCATTGTAAAAAGTTGACTTTCATGGGTTGCCTCAACACTGCCCCTTGTGGTCTGGTTTCTGCTAGATTTGGCCACTGGAGGTACTGAAGGTAAGTGAAGTTGGGGTATTTATTCCCCCAGCTGGTAGGTCACCTGGGCTGGCTAAGTCTTGTGACTAAAAGTTACAGCTCCTGTGAAGGGGCTCTCTCCATCTGCCCCCTCACCTCTTCAGACTTGACTTGGCCATGGCTCCTGCTGAGTTCTTCACTATCCCTTGTAGTTTCTCCATACTCTGCTCACACATTTTAAATCTTCTCTCTATTAAACACTCATCAAATACATGATTTAAGTTTGAGTATGCTACCTCTTTTCTGCCTAAACCCTAACTCTTATGTAATACAAGACTATGAATGAAAACAATGTGAAATTATATAATGTTCATAAACATGGCAGCTCATGGTAGTCAGCAAATGTTAAAGCAACTGAGCAATTGAATCATGAGCTCTCTCATCTGATATCTTTCAAGTGCCACACACACTTAGCCAAACACATATTCAAGGCTCAAGAGAAATTCAGTCCAAATATTTACTTTATTCTGATTTTTAAAAGTAGAACTTGAAACCACAACATCTTTAACTATAAACACTCCCTAACAACCCCAAAAGTTTGCAAACCAGCAGTTGGAAAAAAAAGTTTTGCTAAGTGAAGTGATTGTTTTTCACCCCATCCCAATGGGTAAATTATGAATAATGTATATAAAGGATATGTGTGTATGTGTGTGTTGGAGGGTGTGTGATGGTTTAGAATCCCTGAATATGTAAGAATGTACAACCCTACTTTAAGCATAGCAGCAAAGTTTGAAATGAATTTCCAATCCCTTAATCTATAAAATGGAAATAGAGCCACTAGCTTTCCTCTAATCCAGAGTACAAGCCAGGATCCAAAGAAGTATTATTTACTGTCCAGCAAGAGCCACAGGTCTAAGACCATCCCACCCATAACTGCCTGAGTCTCTGAGAAGCCGTGAGCAGCTGGATTATACACAGGGGATGAATATAGTAATACATTATTATGGGAACATTATGTGAAAAGTTGGGAATCACTGACTTCTCAGCTAATAGCTATGATGTGCAGAGAGCTGTGAGCACGCCAAGATTGCTGCCTGAGAACAGAGGAAGCAAAGGAGACATGATCACAGCAACTCAGGGTACAAACAGTCCAGTTTTCCCCCATTTGGTTGACCATGCCAACAGAAGACAAGGCCAGAAAAGGGAGCATAATGTGACACTAGGGGATACCTGTCACAAAATATGTTTATTGATTTTCTTTTAATAAAATTCCTCCAACTCTATTATGGCTTAAAAGTTGCTGGGGGTGGGCGCCTGGGTGGCTCAGTTGGTTAAGCCAACTGCTTTCAGCTCAGGTCATGATCCCGGAGTCCTGGGATTGAGTCCCGCATCGGGCTCCCAGCTCAGCGGGGAGCCTGCTTCTCCCTCTGATCCTCTCCCCTCTCATGCTGTTTCTCTCTCTCTCAAATAAATAAAATCTTTAAAAAAAAAAAAAAGTTACTGGGGGAGCGTCAGCTACTAGGCTGCCCAGTGAAGATATGTTTGCAAGGCAAAGAGCTTGTTCGTCCAGATCCTTCCTACCCTTCCCATCTCTAACCTCAAAGCTAGATGTGCCTAAATACCTGTTTCTTCTATCACACACACACACACACACACACACACACACTCTCTCTCTCTCTCTCTCTCATGGGAGAGTTGAAGATAGTCTACAATCTACTAAGTAAGAGAAAGTCCACAAGCCCCAAGGCAACACCAGAAAGAGTAGGGTAGATGGACCCAATGAAGGTAGGCCACATAAGACTAGAGGGCTGACTTCCTTCTCCCTCACCATGTAAAATGCTAGTAAAAATCGTTCCACTCCCCCTTCCTCCTTCTCTTCATCTTCCTTTTACCTCCTTCCCCTTTCAACCTATTTCATCTGTCCTCTTTACAGGCTAGAAAGGAACCAACTAAAGGTCACTGTGAACTGAGGAGATAATACCAGTTATAATGGAAGGCCATTCCCTTGAAGCAGAGATAGGTAGCCTTCCAAAGAAAAACTTGGTAACTGATGCTACAATATGATATTTTCTTTCCAGCACTGGTCAAAACAGCAAAATTCATGAAACTTTTTCTAAGTCTCACTCACCCTCAACACTCCTCAGATAGCCAATATTTCCTTGCATCTCTCTATTGTCAAAAACGCTATGCTGGTCAGCTCATCCCAGTGCTTGATCCAAAAAGTCAATTAACTTATGAGGAATATATTCTTCCAAATTGTCTTGCTTTACCCAATCAAAACTTCCCTTTACTGAGCCCAGCTTACTATTAATTAAAAAAAAAAAAATCTTTGTAGTGTGATTCACCATCAGTTTAACCTTCCCACAGGGTCCTTATATCCCTAAAGTAGATCTTTGTACAAAGAAAAAAGCCATAACCCAAATCAATACCATGTCAGTAACATGTAGAATCTATGGCGTTTCATAGCATGTGGCCTGAGGACCCACCCTTTCCCCCACCTTCCTTTTCTCAGTGGCCCTGCACTCCAAGAGGACTTTTACCAACCAGTCACACTGAGAGAGAGAGTAGACATAAACAGCCACAAAATGAGGAGGCCATCTCTTTCCAGGAATGGGATAGTGTCCTGAGAGAGCAACACATTTCTTGCTTCTGTGTTGTCTTTCTCTGTTGAGTTCTGCTCAACCACAGTAGTGTGTCAACAGAGGCCGAGCTGCTCAACAACCCACGAATTTGCTGCTGCTGAGCCAGGAGTGTGACCGGCCAGTAGTCCTCTGGAGGGGGTTTGAGCAAAACAAGCAGTGTTCTTTTTTTAACTATCGACAATGAAATTCACCAAAACAGTGTAGCCATCTCTCTTAAAATGTGCTCCTACCTGGATTGAGACCCCTGCCTCTCGCAGTGAGTTCTACGACAACTAAAACACCTCCTGAGGAAAGGGACCTGGAGAAATAAGGCCTTTCAGAAAGGGAGAGACGTACTGAGCGCTGGGTTCGGGTGAGAGGACTCATCTACCTTGGGTGCTTGCAAAGGCCTGGGGAGCCTCCCGCGATGGCCATGGGCTGCTGGGCCCCTTACCTTACCACACTGCTTACATTTTCCCTCCTGTCGACGCCTGTGTACCCAGTGATGACGCACAAAGTTCTGTGGGAAAACAAAATTAAATGAGTATGTTTAAATTTGTCAATCCCATTATTAGTTTTTTTTAAATGTTTTAAGCATATAGATTTCCATAAACCATAATCTAAGCCCCTATTAGCACAAAACCAAATACGTGTCTGAGTGATTTGTTTAACAATAAACATGAATCTGCTTGGAAAACTGAAGCTACTCCCATGCCCAGTGATCTTTGGTACTTGTAGAAAACGTTCATTGTGTCCTCCCTCCACATCTTCCTCATGGCCACACCATAACGCCATTTCTCTGCTTCCTTCCTAGTAGAACACTGTGCGGATGTGGGAGGTCACTGAAATCCCCTCAGAGAGGTAAAAAGGTGAGGGAGGTAAGATGGAGCAACAATATCCATTTTTAAAAACAAATACGTATTTAATGCTTTATATACGCCAGACACCAAACATCCGCATTAGAAAGAACTTCAAGAAATTAAGTTCTCAGAAAGAAACAGATCTCCTCATTCAGGACATACAGGGTGAGGATCTTTCATTAGCGAAAAGTGAAGGGAAAGAAAAGCTGAAGGAGAAAGATGACAGAGGCAAGAAATGCGGGCCCATCGTGATGTTCGCACAATAACATTGTGTTTAAACTGTCCTTGGGTTCTAGAAACTAGATCCACTTTCAAAGTCTATTCTGGTCTTGGGCCATAGGAAACACAGAACTTCCTTTTCCTCCCAAATAGACAATCAATCCTCGGGCAGGAAGTTAAGGAGCCCCATTACCACTGCTCTTAGGATATATTATAGAGAGAAAGTTGTCTTCAGGCCCAACGGCACAAATAAACTTACATACAACTCATCCTTCTTAGACAAATATACATAAAATATTTCCTCTTTTTTTCCTCTTGCCCTTTTCTGAGAAAACACATTTTACCTGACACTAACGTGTCTATCATCAGGCCACAACCCATATTTCCCTTTAAAAGGCCCTTTAATATATAGCCAGTCATTCAGCAGATACTTACTAGATGCCTACTACCTGCCAGGCCCTGTTGTAGGTATACAGGTATACAGGAAATAGATCAGCATTGAGGAAAAAAAAATGTTCTATCGACACATGAAATTCAGAGTGACGAAAATACCTCTAACAAACATGAGCATTATCTAAAATGCTACCTCCATTTCTCCTTATAATGTCAAATCAATTCAAGTTAAAACTAAACAAAGATCCTGGAGGAATAATGGTCTTTTAACTATAATAAGAAATAAAGAAGCATAACAGTCCCACTAATTAGTCTAAATTTTGTCTTGCTTTTCCCACTGAGGCAGTTTAATAAAACAAGGACACAATTCTTATATTGTTCTCAGAAAGAAGCTAATAGTAATATTTTTGAGTACTCACTGTGTGTCAGGCACTTTTAAGAATGCTTTAAATGTAATAATTATTTTAATTTTCATGAGAATTTTTATGAGTAGAGGTGCTATTCAGTCAGTATGTGAAAAGTACCAGAAAAATCCCATGAGTTGTTAAAATACTGAAATATTTCTATACTGGTTGATAAATTAGTTTAGTTCCCCTACGATTCCCCTGGCTCCTCCCTAACTACCATAGCACCCCGCCTCACCCCACCCCCTCAACATTGGAAATCATTTCTATCCCCTCATTATTAAGCAACTAGAATGTTCATTTTTGGCAGGTCTCTGGGATTCTGTTCCAATGAGCTCTCTTTCAAAAACAAATCACGTTGCCTGAGCAATGCCACTGGGATCCCCCTGGCCCAGCATACTCAGAAAACTGGGCTGTGCCCAACTGATGGTTGTTGTTCGAGTAAGTTTAAATATCATACAAACAGTGCTGTGTCCCATGGCCAGCTGTGGCTCTCAGAACAGTGGCAGCAAGTCAGGAACCTGCCCAGTTATCAGGGTCCACACCACCTCCTGGGGATAAAGTTGCTGGACCCTGCGCCTCTGTACCTCACAGGTGAGGCTGATCGCTTCAGCCTTCCATCCACTCAGGTGATGAGAACTCTAGCCCACTGCTGGCTTAAGAATGGAACTAGAGGGTATTATGCTAAGTGAAATAAGTCAATCAGAGAAAGACAAGTATCATATGATCTCACTGATATGTGCAATTTGAGAAACAAGGCAGAGGATCATAGGGGAAGGGAGGGAAAAATAAAACAAGACGAAACCAGAGAGGGAGACAAACCATAAGAGACTCTTAATCTCAGGAAACAAACTGAGGGTTGCTAAATTGGGGGTGAGAGGGATGGGGTGGCTGGGTGATAGACATTGGGGAGGGTTTGTGCTATGGTGAGCACTGTGAGTTGTGTA